TGGGAGGCCAAGGCAAGAGGACTGCCTGAGCCCAGAGGTTTGAGACCAACCTGTGCAACTTGATGAGACCTTGTCTCTACGATAAATCCCCAAAACTAGCCAGGCATGGTGGAATGAGTCTGTAATTCCAGCTACTTGGAAGGCTGAGGTGGAAGGATCGCCTGAGCCCAGCAGGTTGAGGCTGTGGTGGTTGTGAGTGTGCCACTGCACTCCAGCCTGGGCGACAAAGAGTGAGACTCCAAAAAAAAAAGAATAACATCTCCTGTCATTATTAGATAGATGGTGATCTTTGTGGACAAGGCAGTCAGGTCTCCCATGAGTTTCTGTCATCTATAGCTCCCATCTTTCTGCACAACTCTTAGAAAAGCTCAGTTCACCCTGGAAACATTGGATAAATGTACACTTAATGGGGCAATTGGGGAGGAGATATCATAGAAATATCTCTAACTTAGACTGGATGACTATCCTTTGTCCTTTCCCTGATTTCATCCCAAATGATTCTTTTTTTTTTTAAGAGAAAGGGTCTTTCTTTGCCTCTGTCACCCTGTCACCAAGGTTGGAGTGCAGTGGCTCAATCATAACTTACTGCAGACTTGAATCCTGGGCTCAAGCAATCTTTCAGCCTTGGCCTCCCAAGTAACAGGGATTATAGACCTGTGCCACCACACTCAGTCTCAAAGACTCTTGATAGATCACATAAATGGCATCTACAATAGTCTCTGCAGAACTGGAATGTCAACAGCATATGGCAGAAGCAGCAAGTTGCCTCCTACACATCTGCTGACTGGGAGAAGCCAGCAAATGGGGAACAGGGCTCAACAAGCTACAAGCCCAGCAAACCACAGAGTCAGAGCCTTATCTTTTGGTTACAGACACTCTCACTGCCCCCAAACGTTTCCATCATGCTGCTCCCAGACACAAGAATAAATCCTAGCATCCACACAACCTGCCTGGACAGCAGATGCCTGCTGTTCCTGGGGGAACTGTCGCCTGGCCACTAAGTTCCTTCCTGCCCCCATGAGGCCTCCTTGCAGGAACCAATCCCCTTCCCTTCTGCTCCTCTGGAGTTCGCACTTCCTCCTCTTAGCTCAACCAGCCTTAAATTCACTTGCTCATCAGCCCCCTCAAGAAGTGCCCATCATCTTTGCATAGAGCTCACCCCTTCCTCAGCGTCACAGAACACTTAGGTCTGACCTGCCACTCCAGCCTGGCTGTCAGGCTGGCTTTGGGGCATCTCATGCACCTGGTCTAACCTAACTAGGTCGAAAGTGCCTTTAGAGGACAGGTCTCATGTGGTACTGCAAACACACCACAGGACTCCAGTTAATGCTCAGGAATAAATTAATACGAGCATGTCTGTGTTTGGCCCCCAACTCTCAACAAAGTGGTAGCAGGTGACCAAGAGGGAAGATCTCACTCATCAAAAAAGGCACATTCAGGCTGGGCACAGTGACTCACACTCAGCACTTTGGAAGGTTGAAGCAGGAAGATCACTTGAGCCCAGGAGCTTAAGAGCAGTCCAGGCAACATAGCAAGACCCTGTCCCTTACAAAACATTTTTTATACTGGAAAATATAGCTTATTTAGAAAGGAAATGAGAGCCAGAGAGAGAGAGAGGAGAGTCACCACTGCAAGATAAGGGAGGAGGTAAAGCTAGGAAAACATGGCAAATATAACTCAAAAAGCCACGTGACCTGGGCAGTGCTTAGCAAAACAATTTTTTTTAATTTAAAGAAAGTCAAAAAACTTCTGAATGCAGTCAGTTTTTTCAATCACCTATTAAAAAGAAAATAGAAATGTTCTGGATAAGCACATTATTATGAGGATGAGGAACAGGTAGCTGTGGGGCACAGGGTTCAATGTTGCAGGTGTGTAGGATGAGTAAGTCTAGATATCTAAGATGACCATGAGGACTATGGTGAGAATGTTGCATTCTATGGGAAATGTGCTGGGAGAGTGAATATTTGGTGCTCTTACATCAAGAAAACTTTGGGGAGGACGGGTATGTGCATCTGCTCAACTATGGTAACTATTTCAGTGTATCAAAACAACATGCTCAATATTTAAAATAAAAAGTATCTTATTACCAAAAATAAGTCACAGAGAATGGACACTGTGTAACCTACAGTACCTGAGCCACAGCTACATTCTGGGGGGCTGTACCCATGAGAGGAGACGCTGTACCAGCTGAGCCCCTGCAGACTTGCACCTGCTTCTGAAGATGTCTTTGCTGGTTCTTGTCTGGCCTCTACAACTGCAAGCAGGCTCACCACTGAGCTGGCGTGCTCATTTCTTTTGATTTTTTAAAAAGATAGAGTCTTGCTATGTTGACTATGCTGGTCTTGAACTCCCATCTTGGCCTCCCAAAGTGCTGGGATTATAGGCCTGCACCACCACACCCAGCCCACACTCATTTCTGAAAAGTAGGTTTCATCCTGCAGGATGCTCCTATGCCAATCTTGAGATTTCCTACAAATGAAGAAATGAGGAACAGTGTGGAAGTGTGCGTGGATACAGACTTGTTTTGTTTTGATTCTGGCTCCAACTCCAGGCGGCTGTCAGGAGAGAAGCACTGGCTTGATCACAGCCAGCGCACTAAGAGGACCCAGGTATGTGGGGAAGGCCCTGGGTGGGGACTGTCTGGTGTGTGGGAGAGGACTCCAGGGATAAGGAGTGGCCAGGTGAGTAGCACAGGCACAGGCTGGTCCGGATGCAGAGCATGACATGAAGCTTCCTCTTACCCTTGTCACCTGTATCATGAGCCAGCAGGTGGCCATCTCTGTGCATAGGATCCAGTTGCAAGAGGGCCCTCCAGGACACCAAGGGGATTCCACAACATTAGTTCTAACTCAGCCACTGAACTCTGCAGGACCTGAGCGGTGTCAGAGACTTTGACCATGGAAACTCTTCCATCAGGTTTGACAGTAATTAATGCTTTTCCACCCTTGGCACCAACAGGAACAAGCAGCAATCTTTTCCAATGAGGAAAGAGTATAATTCACTATTTTTTTTTTAAAGTTACATTTACTCTTTACCTGCCCCTGATGACAGACATAAATTTACCAACTTTCAAAGTTGTCGCCACTTCTCCATTACCCACTTTCCCCTCCTTCCTGTCCACCACCCTCTCATCACTAGAAACAGTGACCTTGAAGCTTAAACTGGGCCTGAGCTCAGAGATATGTCCCTGAATATCCTGCTTCTCTAGTCTACATCCAGGCAGAGCTGGGATAGCAAGAAGTGGGCAGCAGCCTCTGGGCCCTTAAAGCCCTTAGCTGGATATGGCAGACAGTGGACGCTGGCTTTATACACTGTGTGCCCTTACTGCCTGCACATCTTTCCTTGGAAAGGGATACACCACAAGTCCATGGTTGCTTGGGTTTGGACTCAAATTTAATGTTCCTCAAACTCTGAAAAATCCGTGATGTGTGTCTTCACCTAGATGTCACTGGGAGTCTTCTGAGCTCTTATTTAGTTTAGTGACTCCATGATGCTGTCCCTGCTTCATGGAGGGAAGACCCCAGGCTCCAAATTCTGCCCTTTTGTAAAGGAGAAAAGGGAAGTGGAGGCGAAAAGATGCAGTCATGCTGTGAAGACAGATCTCCAGCCTAACCTGAGTCCTGATCATCTGGTCTCAGACATCTGGACCTGACTGTTCTCTCTCTCCAAAATGGTTTCAGAATTCCAGATTCTTACTGAATGCCGCAAGGCAATCCAGCCACTCTTCTTCGTCTCTCTCAGTTACTCCCAACTCACTCGCAACCGGTCTTCACCCACCCAGATCCACCCTCCTGAGCATATGGACCTGGTCCAGCCGGACACCGGCTCCAATGGGGAAACTGCATCGCCTGTCTGCATCCCTGTGCTTGCAGATTCAGCCATAATGAGCGGGCTACTGCTCAAAGAAAAGCACACGAGTTTTCAAGAATGCTGGGACCCGCGAGGGGTGCCAGGAGCTTGCCGACACGTAGGCTTCAGGGAGGTCAGGTTGGGGATGGGGGGACCCGAGTGGGAGGAGTTGGGGCTTCAGGGGACGGGAATGGGTCTGCAGAGTGTCTGTCGGGGGATGGGATTGGAGGAGCTGCACGGGACTGCAGTGGGGCAGACATGCGGACTGCAGGTGTCAGAGTTGGGGGCAGCAAAAAGACTGTGGGGGGTGGAGTTGGGGTAACAAGCGGACTGTAGTGGGTGGAGTTGGGGTCCACACAAGGACTGTGGGGGGGAAGGATTGGGGGTCACACGGAGTCTGTAGCGGTGGAGTTGGGGACAGCACGGGGACTATAGGAGGTCGGGGGCCATACGGAGACTGTGGGGGCTAGGGTTGGGGCCTCACGGGGACTGCAGGAGGAGCGGAGTTGGAGCCACACAGGGACTCCAGGGGAGTGGGTTGGGGGCTGCACAGGATCTATAGGGTAGGCAGAAATGGGGGCAGCACCGGGACCGTAGGGGGCCAGCATTGGGGGCAGCACAGGGACTGTACGAAGATAACACAGAGGCGAAGTTGGGGCCTGCACATCTCAGGCATGTGTCCGCTGGTGGGCCAGTGGACCCGCCCCACAGTCCCCTAGCCCTGTGACCCGCCCCTGGGGAAAGGGGATCCCCAACCCCAGACCTCGCTCACCCCCTCCCCATGGTCCTGCGCACCCGAGGTCTCCCACTCCCAGAGTGTTCAAGCCGTGTCCATGGGCCCATGGGCTGGGCGGGCTCATTTAAGATGGCGCCGCCTTCCCTGGGCAGCGGCTGGAGCTCTGCTACCAAAGTGCGCAGGACCCTGAGTTCCCAGGCGGACACCAACTCCGAGGACCCTCCACAGCTGCCAAGGTCTCCACCGACCGGGTCTCCAACGATGCCACGACACCCGACCCCCAGCCCGTGCCCTCATAGGCGACCCCGCCCAGCGTGCGCAAGGTGCTGGGGCCCCTGTTGCCCCGCATCCCAAGCCCGCCAGAGCTCCAGACGCGAGAGGTGGGGTCAGCCTGGGAGCATGGGCGGGGCGCAACATGAAGAAACTCCAGTCGGGGAGGGGGCCCACGGCCACTCTACCCCGCCCAGGCAGGGTATGTGAAGTCGGTCCAGATGGGCTGAGAACACCGGGTCCGGATGCACGTGGAGAGCGGCTGCGGGGCAGGGTTGGGCGCCGCACTGGCTCTGCCAAAGGCGGGGCCGCACGGGGCTGCGGGGATGCACCGTGTTTGAAAAATCTTCCGGAAGCCCTTGCTCTGACCGAGGGTCCTCGACGCTGCGGCATCCCTTTGGAGCAGCCAAGCTGTCCCTTGGGGCCCGGAGGGATGAGGGTCCTCTGTGCCCAAATACATGTCTGTAGTGAGGAGGATATCAGAACCTTCCTCAGAGGATCATTTTGGAGAACAAAGAAGTAAATGTTTGGAGTCACTTGCCTGTTGCAAATAAGCATTACATAGTTTTTCTAAAAAGGGGGTTGGGGAAGGAGCAATGCCTCATCCCCTTATCTAAGGAACTTCTTGGGAGGAAAATCTTTCTCCTCCTCCTCCTCCTCCTCTTCCTCCCTCTTCTCCTCCCTCTTCTCTCTCTCTCTTCTCTCTCTCTCTTCTCCCTCTTCTCTCTCTCTGTGTATGTGTGTGTGTGGTGTGGTGTGTGTGTGTGAGAGAGAGAGAGAGATACTTCTCAGGGTCTTTCCAACACCAGAGCTGCTGAACTGCTGGCCCAAGATGGGCCTAACGTCCTCAGCCCTTCAAAGCAGACGCCAGAGATCATCAAGTTACTCAAGTTCTCCATCCTTTTTTGGATAGATGCTTTCCTGTGCTCTATTGCCTATAGGATCCAGTACTCCCACAACACATCCTCATCCCTGGATAGCATAAGGAGGGCTGTTCCCTCCTGGTGGATCTCAGATCATGACCGGGAGGACAGAGGCATCCTTCAGAGTCACAGCACAAGCTGGAAGTCACTGCCTGGGTGCAGGAAAGCCAGTCATTTCCCCAGCTGTAAAACAGTAACTATGTCTGACTTTAGGATAAACAGTAACTATGTCTGACTTTAGGACGTGTCTGTCAGAGGCAGTATGAGCATGGCTTTTCAAAAAGAAACATTCCTTGACTTCTTAAGAGGAAAAAAAATCTGCAACCATGTACAGTATTTTGGGACTGTGCCTGCTCAGCACCCATGTTTCCCTTTAACACAGAAAGTGCCTGCCTGCTGAGACCTGGGCACCAGGTTCACAAACCCAGTGATGCTAAGAGAGAGAAGCCAGGGGCCACAGGCCATGAGATTTTATTGCCATGAAGGGTGCAGGTCAGGCACATCCATGCACACGGGAAGCAGAACTGGGACGGAACCTGGAGGACCTGCAGAGGGCACAGGATCTGCTGGTAGACAGAAGAACTCTGAGGCTGGATGTGGGTGGGGACAGCTGCACAATCTTATAGAAATTCTGTAAGTTGTGCATGTCATGTGGGTAGATGTGTGACTTGTAAGTCACACCAGGAAACCCTGCCAGTGTCTTGTCCTCCACAGATACTCTAGCCCCAGGTCTGCCTCCTTGCCAGCACCTGTTCTTCTACCTAACCCACCTCCTCCTCACCCAGGTGTACTTGGGTGCCATTCTTGTGCTGGTCATCATACTGACTGGAACCTTTGCTTATTACAAAGAAACAAAAGGCACCAACATCATGTCAAGCTTCAGGAAGATGAGTCGTGGCTACCCTCTTCAGTCTTCTGTTCGTCTCCCAGGTGAGGAAGTCATAGCTGAGGAGGTGCCCAAAGTCCCTGCTCTAGCCCCAGCCCATCCTTTGCTCTCTGAGGAACCCTGGGCAAGTTACTTCCTCTCCAAACCCTGGCTCCTCACAGGGTGTTGAGATGATCAAATGAGGCCAGATCCAGGAGATGCCAGTCATTGCACGGCACATTCTGTTCCTGCTAAGAAACAGGTCAGTGCTTCCAGGTGGAGCCTGTGGAAGTCCTAGGGGTGTTCATTCTCTGGCAGCTGGGGACACACCTGAGAGTGTGTCTGTGACCATTCTGCTCCTGTTCCTTAGTCCCAAAGCAGGTTGCCACAGAAATGTTCCCAGCAAGGGATCCAGTTTATGCTCTCTGCCAGGAGCCCCCATTTAGTGTCCATGGCAGGAAAAGCATGCTGTCCTGACCCAGAGGCTGCCAGTGTCTGGTGGAAAGAATTCCTCCTGCTCCGTGCCAGGAACACTCACCCTATGCAAGACTCAAGGCTCTCGCTTTGCCAGATCTGCCTGACTGCAGCCTTTTCCTGTTCCAAGAACATCTCTATGAACTCAAGAAAAAATATATCTAGCATCTTCAGACTTGAGTGAAACAGTCTTCAGTTTCACCCTTGCCTTCCTGGACACAGTCCCAATGCCATCATCCTGGCGTTTGGCACAGCCTAGATGCAGAGGAGGCCCAGCAAAAGAAAGGATGTTTCTTTCGTGGTCTTCTGCAGCAAGCTGTTGTCATCTGTGATTCTGAGAAGAAGATCTTCCCTGCAGAGCAGCTGGTGGTGGGGCACATCATGGAGATCAAAGAAGGAGACCAGATCTCTGTGGACATATGGATGTGGTCTTGCCAGGGGTGTCGGGTAAGCACTGAGGACACCCAGTCTGAAGACCGAGCTTGGTGTTCGCTGGCATTTCATTCTCTTTCCTGGCCTCATTCCACATGAAGAGAACAAGAGGCCTGATTTTGAGGTGTTTTCAATGTTTCTTCTAGGTGGATAACTCTTCTCTCACTGGGGAGTCTGAGCCCCAGTTCCACTTCTTTGAGTTCACCCGTGCAAAACCCTTGGAAAAAAAGAACAACTGCTTCTATTCTACAACCTGTCTGGAAGGTAAAGTTACTGGTCTTGGGTTGCCCATTCATCCATGCCCCCCTTCCTTCTTAGTCCTGTGTCTTTGTTTCTTTGCCACCCTTGTGACTAACTTGTGTCAGAGGAAGCAGGGAGTAACAGGATCTAGAGGACAGATGTTTGTCCTTTGCCATGTAATGAGAATGATGATCAAGCCAGCCACAAATGGGGCTGCAAGCTGGCTGCACACCCCTCCTAGATAAAGGCCCGTGGAGTAAAATGTCTACTTCTCCTTGGCACTGCCACCAGCATGGTCATCAACACAGATGACCACACTGTCATCAGTCACATTGCTTCCTTGGCCTCAGGAGTGGGAAATGAGAAGACACCCACTATAGAGATCTAGCACTTTGCTCAAATTGTAGCTGGAGTGGCCATCTCCATCAGCAATCTTTTCTTCATTATTGTGGCATCAATGAAGTACCACGTCCTGAACTCCATCATCTTCTGCATTGGCATCATTGTGGTCAATGTCCCCGAGGGCCTCCTGGCTACTGTCACTGTGAGTCTATGCTGTAGAATATACCACATCCCAACACCTGGGAGATTCCACACCCAAATCACACATCTCCCCAGTTTTAGGGCAAAATGCTCATGTACCAGGGGGAGCCACAAAACCTTCTGAATAGACTGTTTCATAGAGGAACAACAGGTATTGTAGTTTTTTTCATATTTGCATACATTCATTGCACTTATATTTCCAGGACATCTGTATGCACTTCACATATGTTATTTTGTGCCCTTATGTCTCAGTTAAGACAGACTCCACCATTCAGGATTCTAGATTTCCTAGATGCCTAATGCTGTCCCCACTTTTCTGTGGCAATTTCTACAACTTGGGAATTGAGGCACATTATTTGCATAACTTACTTTTCACTTCCAGGCAATAATAATAATAATAATAATAATTTCTCCCATTTTTTTCCTGCGAAGGAATTCAGCCCCTTCTTGCCCAACCCCAGATTCAACTGTGGCTTTTTGTTTGTGAGGGCCCATCACATTCTGTCTTCACAGGATTCCTCCCCACCCCCAGTCTTTGCTGTGGGAACCCCAAGAGGAAGGGAGGAAGGTCACATCTCCATTTGTGTAGCCGTGTGGTCATCAGTCTGGTGGTGTCCTGACCAAAGAAGAGAGAATTTCTGGAATTTCAGGTCTCTTCTCACTCTAGAAGACTGTTAGAAGAAATTGGAGTTAAAATAGAACGTTTTGAGATCTGGGGTTCTGATAGAATCTTTAAAATATGGAGCTCTTAAAATTAAACATATTTTTATTTGTCTCCTTGATTTCCCCAAAACAACATGTGAGTTCTGTGAGCCTGCCTCTTTGGTGTACACCAGCAGAGGTATCTCACACACCCATGCGTGGGTGAGAGGAGCACACGTCCCATCACCTTTACTGATAATGCCCGAACACCAGTCAAAGCTCCTCGTCTGTCTTTGTTGCCTTTGGGTCACTCAGGCACATTTCCTTCAAGGAATGAAGGGACAAGAAAAATGTCTCACGTTTAATTTTTTAAAAAGGGTTGAGGTACAAAGGGCATTTAGTGGCTTCTGAGCCGCTAGGTCAGCTATCTGGCATTGGCAACCACACCTGTCTTCTAGAACTAGCCCAGCTCTCTTCTAAAATCAGTCACAGCAACCTTGGCTATTTCTGTCCTGTCCAACTTGAATTCAAAGGGAGAACTGCCCCAAAGCACTCCTCTCTCTCTCCTGCAGGTGACCCTGTCACAGATGGCAAAGCGGATGGCCAAGAAGAACTGCCTGGTGAAGTACCTGGAGGCCATGAATACCCTGGGCTCCACCTCTGTCACCTACTCAGACAAGACCAGGATGCTGACCCAGAACGGAATGACCATGGCCCACCTGTGGTTTGACCATCGGCTCTTTGTGGCCGACACCAGTGAGAACCAGTTAAGTGAGTTGAAGTGTTCGGTGTGGACTGAGCATTGAGGTCTGCAAACACAGAGAACTGTTGGGAAGGAACTCTTGGATGGCAGGCTTGTCCCCATAGGTGCTTCTGTTATTTCTGTCTTCCAGATCACGTCTATGACTAAGGCTCTGGGACATGGGCCTCCTTATCCAAGGTAATAACCTTGTGCAACTGGGCCAAGTTCAAGCCAGGAATGGAGAATGTCCCTATCATGAAGGTAACACTTCTTCATGTTCAGTATTTTGAAGTCACCTGCTGAGTTTTGACTGGGTGCTTGGTGAAATCTTTCCCACTGAGTGAAGGTTGTATAGTGCTAGCAAGACCCGATTGGACTCACAAAACACATAGAAGGTTTTCTTCATGCTCCCTCTCTTTCAGAAGCCACAAAGTTGCTTTAAAAACTGCAGAATAATATTGTAGCTCCTTTTGAACATTATTTCTCATTCCAGGTAGTGAATGCTCCTTAAAGCTACTTTCCTGACTATTTTGCCAGCCATGTGAATGTCATCCAAATTTCTTTTCTTTTCTTTTTTGAGTTGGAGTCTCACTCTATTGCCTGAGCTGAAGTGCAGTGGCATGTTCACGGCCATCGTGGCCTCAGCCTGCCGGACTTGGGTGATTTCTGCTTCAGCCTTCCAAGTAGCTGAAACTACAGACTTACACCACCACGTCCTGTTATTTTTTAGATTTATTTTAGAGAAAATATCTTGCTATGTTGTCCATACCGGTCTCGAACTCTTGGGCTCAGGTAACCCTCTTGCCTCGGCCTCCTGAAGTGCTGGGGTTACAGGCTGAGCCACTGCACCCAGCCCCAAGTTTCTTCATTACATGAATGACATAATGGAACTTTAAAATATGACTGGATGGAATGGAAGGAACTGATCACAGCACATTTTCCTCTTGACCAGAATGTGGCAGCAGATGGAGCTTTGAGGGCCTGGGAATATGGGAATACACAATTCACTCTTCCCTGCCCTTCCTTCTCCTTTTTCTCTCCCCTCCATCTCAGTGAGTCACTGAGTCTGTGTTCCCTGGGTCTTTCTAATTGCCACCTGTTTCCTTTCCTGACCTTGAGCACTGATAGCTCATCAATGCTTTTGTGGCCATTCGCTTCTCTTCCAGTATCTTTCTGCTCTTTATGCCCAGTTCCAATTTCTCACCCAGACTCCAACTAATATCTCCAACTGGCTATGTGCTCACTTGGAAGTTTTGCCATGTTAGCCCCTCTCAGCGAACTATACTTGTCACCTTCCACCTGTATCCAGCCTGGGATGGCATCATCTCTTGTCACTATTTTGTATTTTTCATAATCATCCTTCTTGTCATTGGGTCAAAACTCTTGGAAGTCATCTTCAACTGTTTCTCTTCCTTGTAGCTAATGAGTCACTAAGTTCTATTGTTCTTGCTTCAAAATAGACATATTTTTACATTTCTATTATCACCAATGCCTTGCATCTAAATAACTGCACTAAGCACTTTAATTGGCCTCCCCAATTCCAGTTTATCCCTCCCTGAATCTTTCTCAAGTGCTCCTATAATTTTCCTTATGTAGTGCTTTTATCTTCACCTAACTTGCTGCTCACCTTGCTGTACTTCCCTATTTTCTGCTTCTTGAGTCTGGGCCTTAGCCTACCCTTCAGGGCCTTCTGTGTCTGCTTGTACCTTGAACACTCCCAGAGGTGCCTTCCCCTTCTTGCCCTGCTCAAGCTTCTAGAATGTTTTCTTCTGCTTCTCTGATCACCTTAACTCACCTGTCTACAAGATCTAGTCATAGCTGCTTTTCCCATGAAACACTCAGTCCTTTTTGTGCTTCCACATCTCTGAAAGTCCCTGATGCCAGTAGGTGGCACCATTAGTTTACCTGCTTATTGTTGTCTTGCATCTGTCCCTAAGCATCATATGATACTATCTTCTCTCCAACTAGAGGGTAAGCTTGGTCAGGAGACGTGTTGTGTCATGTAATGAGCATGTTGGCTCCTTAATGACAATCGTGTAAGAGCAGATTTATTCATCTAAACTATTTGTTTATCTCTTCTGATTTATAGAAAGTTGTGGTTGGAGATGCCTTAGAAACTGCTCTTTTGAAATTCTCGGAGGTCATTTTTGGTGATGTGATGCAAATTAGAAAAAGAAACCACAAAATCACTGAAATCCCTTTTAACACTACCAACAAATTTCAGATGAGTTTTTCCTCACAACTGGCAAAATTTTTATCACCAGGATGCTATTTCTACCTGCACATATCCTTTGTTTAACCCTCATTTAAAAACAGTCCTTGGGGATGCAGGACATGGGTGTCCAGTCCACCCAGGCCATGTTGCCTTTGCAACCACCTTCCCTCTCTGAAGTAGGCCTCCTGTGGGGCCTGGCTGCTCTTGTGAGTGCTCCATCACATCACACACATACTCACATGTGCATACATGCATATTAATAGTCACACACACACATACTGTCACACACACATTCACTCAGTCACACAAACATCACATGCATACTCCCACGCATACATGAACCTTCACACACATATACCACCCAGTCTCACCAACATACACATTCACTCACACACATTCATTCACATAGTAACACGCATCACATGCACATTCACACATATATACACATTCACATACACACTCACAAACATCACATACACACACGCACAGTCATACACACATTTATTCAGTTTTATACATTACATGAACACTCACATGCACACACACTCACATGCACTCTGATACATGCGCACTCATATATACACTCACATTCATGAACACATGTGTCATACCACTGGATCTTCTGCACTTGTGAGGAGCAACAGCCACATCCCAAAGGCTCTGTGAGAGGTGGGATAGTCCAATGATAACTCACACTTACTGCACACCTCGTAATACAGGCGCTTAACCTGCATAGTCTCATTAACCTTCACCACAATTTTATGAGGAAGATCTAACTAATCCCAACTTGCAGAAGAGGAAATGGGTCCTTAGAAAGCATTGACAGGACTGGATGTGGTGGCTAAAGCCTGTAATCCCAGCACCTTGGGAGGCCAAGGCCAGTCCAGGGGTTTGAGACCAGTCTGGGCAACTTGGTGAGACCTCGTCTCTACAATAAGTAAAAAAATTGGCCAGGCATGGTGGCTTGTATCTGTAATTCTGGCTTATTGGAAGACTAAGGTGGAAGGATCACCTGAACCCAGTAATTTGAGGCGGTGGTGGCTGTGAGCATGCCACTGCACTCCAGCCTGGGCAGCAGAGTGAGACTCCAATTCAAAAACAAACAAAAAAAGTGTTGACAGGACCAGAGTCACACAGCATCTCTGGGGTACAGCCACTTTTCATAAGTATGACCCCAAAGCCCATGATTTTCCACCACAGCACAGAGATAAGACAGTCTAGTGCAGGCCAGGTGAACAAGCTTAGACCTTGTGAAGACAAGTGAATAGCCTTGCAACTGACCAGTCCCGTTGCTGTCTTCTTCTGTCCTGCATGTTGGTAGGGACCCCTTTCCCCCAGTCCTCAGGAAGTAGTTGGTTGTCCTTGACTACTTGTCTTCAACAGGATGGGGTGGTCCACTGCCAACCATCTCTATCCTCCTCATGCCAAGATAAGTGGCAGTTTGCAGCCCAGGGTTCTGATGCCAGTGGGTTCCCAAGGGATCAACCTGAAAGTGGGGGCCAGTGACATGGACTTTAGAAGTAGGATAACCAGACCTGTCGAGGTGGCTCAAGTCTGTAATACCAGCACTTTGGGAGGCTAGGGCAAGAGGATTGCCTGAGCCCATGGGTTTGAGACCAGCCTGGGAAACTTGACAAAACCTCATCTCGACAATAAAAATAAATAAATAAATAAATAAATAAATAAATAAATAAATAAATACACAAACAAATAAATAAGTAGCTGGGTATGGTGGCGTGAGCCTGTAGTTCCAGCTACTTGGAAGTCTGAGGTGGAAGGATTGCCTGATCCCAGCAGGTTGAGGCCACAGTGGCTGTGAGCATGCCACTTCACTCAAGTCTGGCCAGAGTGAGACTCTGACTCAAAAAAAAGAAGCAGGTAACCATAGATGTGTGTGTGTGTGTGTGTGTGTGTGTGTGTGTGTGTGTGTGTGTTGTAGGTTTCTGTTATCATTCACCATCTTTATGTGGATGGAATTTAAGGCTGGAAAAGCACTTTTTTTTAGTTAGAGTCTCACTCATGCCCGCCACAGCCTTGACCTGCTGGACTCAGGTGATCCTTCCACTTCATTCTTCCAAGTAGCTGAAACTATAGGTACATGCTACCATGCGTGACTAATGTTTTTGATTTATTTTAGAGGCAAGGTCTTGCCAAGTTGCCCAGGCTGGTCTTGAACTCCTGGGCTCAGGCAATCGTCTTGCCTCAGCCTCCCAAGGTGCTGGGATTACAGGCTTGAGCCACCCTGCCTGGCCTTGGAGAAGCACTCTTAGTGCTGCATACATTGTTTCCATGGATAATGAACCCTGGAAAAGTGACAGCTGGCTAAATAGACATCTGACAAAAGCATAGGGTGTAAAATTCTAATGTCAGTAAGTCAGATCTCTTAAATAAAACATCCATGAGCATGGGATGAGAAGCAACCTAAAATAGTAGCAGTCGTAGCAGCCATTTTGAGCTAGATTCCATGTATGTTACATCACCCATTCCCAGGACTCCAGGAGTCAGGTAGGGGTGAGAAGTGAGAGGCACAGAGTCTCAGCACACAGTGAAGGCCAGGCTAGGGGATCTCCCAACTGCAACAAGACTCAACCCTGCAGAAATCCCATCTTCCATGATTGATTGAGATACTCCCTGTCATGAGAAGTGAGAAAAGGCAGGTTCTGTGAGACCTCTAGGCCTTGTGTGCAGGCTGGGGGAGGAAGAGGCTGCACAGAGTGGGACTTGGGGAAAGGGGCCTGTGCCCGTTCCTATGAAGTTGCAGATGCTCCTGGGACACCGCTGGGGCCATCGTGTGCATGCACATGAGAGGCGCTTAATCCCAGCAGGGCTTAGGTATACTGACCTTGGAGCACAGTTGCTACTGAACATTTCAGTTGGAGGTAAAACAGTGGAAAGTCCTAGTTGAACCTAGAAAAGTGACACCTCAGTCAGACAAATCTGTGAAAATATTTGTAATAGTCTATGGGAAATTACAGTGTCTTATGAAGTTTCTTAGAAAGATAAGTGAATTTAATTTGAAAGATGACCCTTTCTAGCTCTGTGATTCAGGCAGAGACCTGCCAACCTGAGCTCAAATCCCAGCTCAATCACTGTTGCTATGTGACCTTGAGCAATCCATTGAGCATTGTGCCTCAGTTTCCTCCCTAGTAAAAGGGAGGAATGATAACAGTACCTGATAACCGATCTTAGGGTTGTTTTGAGGATTAAGTGAGTCACTGTGGACAGCACTTAGAACAGTACCCAGCACACATGTGGTACACACCATAAAAGTGTTATTATTGTTCCTATGTTTTAAATGTGAAAAGCCTTATCTTTTAGAAAGTGGTGATGATAACAGATGGGAGGATGATGTAGTTAGGCTTTGGTTGCTTGGTGTGTTTTCTTAGTGTCTTTACTAGTCCATTAATAAGAAGGAGAAGGAGGAAGAGGAGGAGGAGGACTATGACAACCCTGTTTATCCTCTAGTATTTTCTGTGCTCATCTTTGATATCCAGAAGTACAGGAACTACTGATTTGACATCAACTGTTTGATCCAAAATGGTAGCCCTTTCCTCTGTCACTTATTTTCTCCCACACACTTGAGCTTCCTTAAATTCCTTCTGCAAGCTTAGAGGAGTTCCTGGTGTATAATAAGGACTGAGTAAGAGTCATTTTATTCTTGTGCAGACATTTTTCACTATTCTTCCTGATTACCTTATTAGGAGGGATCTACAAGTAGCTCTACTAGGTGGAGGGCATTCCAGTTAAAAGTGGAACACCCATGACTTGGCAGCGTGTGAGAGTGTCTGGTTCCTCATACTCGCCACTTTCTTTGACATCCAGGCAAGAGAACTTGGTTGACAGAGAGCTGTAAGGTTCAGAGATTCCTGCAGCTTCGAGGAGACAGGCTCAGAATGGCCTGAGTCTGAAGGGCTGCTGGTCCAGAAGGAGGGGATGGGGGATGGGGATGCTTGCAGGCCCCCCTCTCCAGGAGGTCTTGTTCAAGGCACAAGCCTTTCCAGCTGGAATCCATGTTTAGATTCCCTAAAACAGCCAATGCGGGTGTGAGCTTGCCCACCCTCATTGTGAGAATTTCCAGGCCTGAACTCTGCACATGACCTTGCCACAGAAGTTAAAAGGAAGGCCATGTTGTGCTGTCATGCTGCTCGTTCCCCACGTTCAGAGCACATGGTGGGAAATGCACCTTCCCCTTCCACACTTCACTGCTCCATCCTCCTTTCCCAGCTCTCTATCCAAGATATGGAGGACCCTGGGAACTGGCACTTCCTCCTGGTGAAGAAGGGCACCCCTGAGTGCATCCTGGAGCAGTGCAGCACCCTAATTGTTCCCAACCAGGAGCAGTTGCTGGACAAGAGTGCGGACAAGGCCTTCCACATGGCCTATATGGAGCTGGGCCAGCTGGGCCAGCTGGGCGAGCCTGTGCTCAGTGAGTTTGGCATTGAGGCGTGCGCCAAGGTCCCTGGGACCCACAGAGTGGCCACAGGGAGCATGTGGGGAGAACAGGGTGAACAGGAAGAGGAATGAAGAGGTGATGGTTCCAGCGACCTGAGCTGTATCCCCAAAAGCAGCCACAGGGAGGATTCTAGAAGGAGTTACAAATTAAACTGGCACTTGAATGGGGTGGGGGAGTATCCAGGGCAGAGGAAACAACACAGTCTAAGCCCAGAAGAATGAAAGACAGATGTGTGAATATGGTAGGGCGTATGACCAGGCAGAGGGCTCAGAACAGAAGAGACAATACAGTCATGGAAACAGGCCCATGTGGAGATCACCATACAGAGGCCCAGATGTGCAGGCGAGTAGTCAGGCTGTGTTCTCTGGGGGAGCACTGAGAGCTGCCCAGCAAGAGGAGGCTGCCCAGAGTTGCAGAGTGACCAGGACAGTCCTCAGCACTGCAGGGAGGGGACAACATGGGTCTCAACGGGAGGTAGCTACTTCCTTGGGTGAAGGGACAGGGATTTGATCAGTGTGTGAGGGTGTGGAGGAGGGTCGGGGGCCTGGAAGACAGATGTGGTAAGACTAGCAACTGAACAGAGGAGACCAGAATGTTTAAAAATGACTAGGTTTCCCATTTAGCAACTAAGAAAAATATGATGCTTGTTACCAAAACTGGGTGTTAAGGAAAGGAGCCTTGAAATGCAGCCACGGTAGGAGAAGCATGATGGGTGCTTGCAGTGGCATCACAGGGACAATGTCCTACTGCCATAGTCAGGGCAGTAAATGTGCCTGTCCAGACCCATAGACTGAGGAAGGTTTTCACCACTGGTACAGAATTCATTAAACACCAAGAGAACTCTGGTCATTGAGATGGAATCTGTGGAATGTGAGTTTCTAAGGCCATTTGAGTCAGGAGAGCATGTAAAGTGCACAAATGAGATGATAACACTTAAAACATGTCTTAAATAACCCACAACACCATTAGTCCCTTTTTCAATTCAGACTGATCCCTTCCCTACTAGAGTCACTTCAGGAATCTCACCTGAAGTCTCCTGGATGTGCTGTGCTGACTTCTGCAATGTAGTGGGTCATGCCAAAAGAAATTGGGTATAAAATCTCATCCCTCACTCTCTGCAGTCCCAGCAGACACAGGCATCCCTTCTCTCTCAACTGTGCAAGGCTGGTACCCTCCAAGAAAAGGATGGGATTACTCCAGTCCTTGTAACCTTTATCTGACCCTCTGATTAAAAACTGAACATAGTACAGCTTGCCCTAAGGTCCTTCCCTGCTTTGCTCAGTAGGTTGAGTGTTTTCTCTGCCAGAAATAGCCTTCCCACCTCAGCCCTCTGTTCTTTCTCTAGAGAACACCTGTGACTCGGCAAGATTAAGCTTACATGTAGCCTTCGTGGGGCAGTTGTGGCTGAAGTGCCATTCTACTCTGCCACACGCACCTGCCTTGTGTGCTGTAACCCTACAACTCCCGGTCAGGCTTCCCTAACTATGACATCTTCAGAAGTCAGTGCTGTTCATACCTCATCTTTATATCTCTAGATCATAATGTAGATGCCAATGAACACACAGTAAACTATTTTTGGAGAAAATATGTCATTTAAGAAAACCATGCAGTATGGAATGGATGGAATTAAACAATCCTGGTATGTTCTAATGCCCTGGTAACATATCAAAGGACTGAGGACCTATTAACACATTCTAGGCTTTTGTCTTTTCTTTTCTTACCCTGGGTTCTTTGACTCCAAAATGTATCTCTATTCCAGGCTTCTGTCATCTCTACCTGCCAGCAGACAAGTTTCTGGAAACCTACATGTTTGACACAGATGTCATGAATTTTTCCACCTCCAACCTGTGTTTTGTGGGACTCTTGTCATTGATTGACCCCCCTCAGTCCACTGTGCCTGTTGCAGTCACCAAATGCCACAGTGCGGGGATCAAGGTGGGGGTATTTTCCTGACTCAAGGCGTACTCCCTTCATGTTGCATCTCTTTCTGATAACGTCCGTTATAAGTGGTGATCGGTATTTAGATCTCTCCAAGGAAATGTTGCAATTTCCTTTTTTTAAAATCTTGACTTTCACTGTGCTGAGTTTTCAGTAACTTCCTTGTAAAGTGAAAAACACATGTCTGTGTAGGATAAATTACAACAGTAACCAGCATAATCTCCCAGTGCCTTGATGTGGCCCAATCTTGCCCTAGACCATGATAGAAAATAAAAGGTGAGCATCATCTTGCTAGACACTGCTGTCATCATGCTTCCTGGTTTTGGCCCCCTCCCCCACCTTGGGGAGGTGAATTTTCTCTTTCTCTCTATTTACTTTTAAATAAACTATATTTTTAAATCTAAAAAAGAAAAGGTTTCATTACTTGATCTTGAGGTTCACCTCTGTAACCCATCTTCAAAATTCCAGTCATCTATGAATTGCAATCTCAGACTGTTGAAGCAACACAGGGTTGCCTCATGTAGACATCCACAGGCCTTTTCAAAAATAAAATAATGTCAAAGGGGAAGGGCTTCCTCTCCTGTCACAGAAGGAAATTTAAGAAGTTTAGGATTAAGGGTAATCCCAGTGGGATTAGTGTGCCTCAAAGACTGTTGTGCCTTTGATCCAGGGCTTCCCAGAGGGCAAACCCCAGTGATCACTAGCCATACTCACTAAGTCCCAGAAGATGGGGCCGTATGGATCATTCCCACCTTGGCTGACCAAGTTCTTCATCATACATGACCTCTTGGTGCCCTGTGCTCTAGGTTATCATGGTTACTGGTGATCATCCCATCACAGCCAAAGCCATCACCAAGAGTGTGAGCATCTTCTCAGCCAACAGTGAGATGGTGGAAGACTTTGGAAATCATCTCAACATTGCATGGAGCAAATTAGCAAACAGTATGTGCGGACCCAGCCTAGCAGAAGATCTGCTGTGACCCTCAGGACCCTGCTTGCTCTAGACAGCTGTGCTGCTCAGAACAAGCCACCTGTGTGCAGAACATCCTCTGGGAGTAATTCTAGGTTTCTTTAATCTGTGATTCCCATACCCATGTATTCACTCCAGATTTAAGTGAGCACCTGGTATGTGCCAGGCACTGTATTAACACCATGAAAAGGGCCATTTCTACATCCTTGACTGAAATTTCAAAAGTCAGTGAACTAGATCTGAAAACCTGTGTGCCTAGACTGAGAAAAACTGAAACAAAGGGTGTGTATGAAATTACTTGCCATTGATCCAGGTGTATGTTTAGGAACAATAAGAACACATTTGTTTCATACACCCCCACCTCCCCACAAGTGGACATCTTGGGTATTTCTCCCTTCAGCTGACTTCATGGAGTATATGCTTGTTTTTTGTTTGGTAGTAAATAGAATGGAAGCTTCTTAAGGAAAACATTTGTCCTTGTTTCTCTTCATTCTTTTAAATCTTGTTTCTCCTTTAATCCATTCTTCTATTCACTCATTCTTCTATTCTTTCAACAATTATTGAGTAGCAACTGTACACCAGGCACAGTTCTGGGCCTGGAACTATAGCAGCAAACAGGGCAATGCCATCCACACCATTGTGGAGCTTTCCTTCTAGCCAGGGAGACAGAAAAAAATGCCAACAGTGACCTGGTCAGTATAATGGAGAGGGCCAGGGATGAGGGAACTGGGTGTGGAAAGGAGGGACTGGGCTGCACATGGTTTCAGTGAGGCAGAGACTCCAAAGCCTCAGGTTGAAGAGAAATCTCATCAGCTGGTTCATGCTTTTATGTATGTGGGTGGAAGAGGCAAAGATCAATGAACACCTTTTAGTGACCAAGCACTTAGACCTTTTAGGAATAAGGAGCTATCAGGTAGTAGATTACCACAGACAACACCACCACATCAGATGACCAACCAGCATCCTAGGCTCTGGGACAGCAATAGTATCCAAAGTTACTTTATTTTTTAAAATTTTACATTATACACTTGCCCCTTTAGCAGCTTTTATCTCTGCATCTTCTCAACTGTTTCTTCCTTATATGTGCCCTTTTTCTTCTCTACTTGGTGGGATTTGGCTTTTGATTCCAGGATCTTCTGTGGTCTCTGTGCAGTTTTAGCTTAGTGGCAACCACTTGCTGGAGTGAACATTCACAGGGACTTGGTGCCATCAGCCTCTCCCGCTGCACCTGTTCAGTGTAAGATATGTTGCTTCCTGTATCCTGGACTACTTAGCCAATTTGATATACATTGTGTTCTTGTTCAACCTGAACGTCTCCTCCTCTCAGATGAACCTGGATGGGACACTGTAGTCCTGTCTCAGTGCTTTGGAAAGAGGAGAGGATGTCATCCTCCCACAAACGTGGGAAGGTATATTGAAATGCCTCTGTGGCTCTTGCTTCAGTCAGAAGCCACAATGGGATTGACCTTCATGATGACCACTTTCACATACATGATAGCCATAGAAGCGAAGAGTGGATTAGACATTTTCACACAAGACTCCAAACTAAGTGCAGGGGATTCTTTTGTGAATGTTTTAAGTTACTTGCTCATCATCTCTAGTTTCATGGCCATAGAAAATTTGTATTGTGGCAGGTGTAAGGGGAAAGAAACACCCTTTCCTTCCTACCTTACTTCTCTATTTTTAATCAGCAGTTAGGAAGGGCTACAGTTTGAGTCAAGTGCTAAAATTCCAATAATTGCCACCAAGAGAAAAAAACAGACCGAAAAAGCACACACTTACAAATTGTAATGAAAAAGGCATTTGGTGTTTTGAACCTGCAGCATTACAGTTGGGATTGGAAGATTGACATGAGAACAGACCAAGGGTGGCTGAGAGGAGAGATGCCCATACCATGAAAGGGAGCAAGACCACTAGAGGCTTTGAAATGGTAGGGACAGGGAGGTCTCAGAGCTGAGAGGGCCCGGTAGGCTTGAAGGAGAGCCTGAGGGGAGGTAAAGCTGGTGGTACAGACGCCATGTAGGGCTTCTGTGCCTGCTGGGAGCACAGGGAAGTCCTGAAGATCTCAGCAGGGGGTGGCAAAATGGCTCTGCATAGTCAACAGTCCATAGAACTGAACTCTTGTAGTCAGCAGAAAACCGAGTTGCTCTGACTCCAGCAGACCTTTCTATCGCACAGCACATGCACATAGTGGACACTGGGTAAATCTGAATAAACAACATCGGCAATGAGTTATTATGTATAAGGAAGTTCCATGATCCAAGACATGTAAATGGGCAGCTGTGTAACCTCCTTCTATGTGTGAAGGAAAGCTTTTATCCCTGCGTCTTCGGGAAGCACCTCTCTCACCCCTTCAGTAGGGAAAGAGCTACATGACTTTTTATTCCTGTATCATATGATACCAGAAAATGGTCTTTTTTTTAGCCCCAGTTTGCGATCTTGAAAGAGAGACCACAGGAGCATTGGGTGCCAGGGACACTGGGTTCCAGGTCAAGTCAAAGAGGCATCCACCCTCATCCTGCAGAAGCAGTTTTCACCTGAGATCTTGTCTTGGGTTTCACTCAGTTTCTCCTGGCCCTTCCAGGAATGCCAAGGCCACCATGGTGGCCAACATGGAACTGCAGGACATGAACCCAGACCAGTTGAATGAGGTCTTAGACAACTACTTGGAAATCATCTTAGCTAGGATGTCGCCTCAGCAGAAGCTAATCATTGTGGAGGGCTGTCAGCAGCAGGTGGATGGACAGCAGTGCCCAAAGGACTGACCAGGACCTTTGCTGTCCTCAGGGAATCCAGAGCAGGGGTCTGGACCTCAGACCAGGCGGTGGCACCATTGAAGCCGCTCCAGACCTCTCCACCATCTCAGAGGGCTCACTCTGCACTCCTTTGAGACTCTGGCTGTAAATCCTAGCAGGGTAATCCCACCTCTACATTTATCATGAGAACACAGGGGTTCTGGAGTGAAGTGCTTGCCTCTGGTGGGTATGCGCCAGAGGTTGAAAACTGCAAGGGTATAAAATGCAAAATGTGAAGACACGAGGTGTGAAATGCCCCTGTGGACTTGCACACATGCGATTTTTCTAGTGCAAACATGGCTTGTTGGAGCTGCCTCTTTTTGTCTGATCCTGTCTTCACCTTTCCCCAGGCCTTGCACTTCTGCTACAGGTGTCCTCACAGACTCAACTCAACAAGAGGCCAGGTCACTTGTGCACACCCTGTGACTCCTGGGCCCACTCATCCCGCTGTCTCCCCGGTCCCCACAGGATGCAGTTGCTGGAGTGAAAGGGGATGGAGTGAATGACTCTCTGGCACTCAAGAAAGCAGACATTGGGACTGCCATGAGTATCAAGGGTTCCGATGCAGTCAAAAGTGACACTGGCATAATCTTGCTGGAAGACAATTTAGCCTCCATCGTCACAGGTATGGAGGAAGGTGAGTGAGGTACCAGGTGGTTTTCCCAAGGCCTGGTCACCAGGGCCTAGAGGCAAGCCCCACAGGGAGGAGCATCTCTGCCTAGGCTCCCTGATATTCGACAACCTCAAGAAGACTATTGTGTACACACTGACCAAGAACATTGTTGAACTGTGTCCCTTTCTCATCTATGTCATCGTGGGGCTGTTTCTGATCATTGGCACCATCCTATTCATCAACCTGGGCACAGACATTGTAGGTGGCCCTGAGGAATCATGGACTGGTGACCACCTCAGGGGAGCTAAGGCCTGGGTCATTCCTCCAAGATCATGGGGGTAGACAAAGTCAGTATTTCTCAAACTTCCATGTGAAGGGGACTGTACCTTTGGTTTCTTTCTTTTCCTTTTTTTGAGTTGGAGTCTCACTCTATTGCCCTTCTGCCTCAGCCTTGCAAGTAGCCAAAACTACAGGCATGTGCTACTATACCTGGCTAATTTTTTTGATTTATTGTAGAGATGAGGTCTCACCAAGTTGCCCAGGCTGGTTTCAAACCCCTGGGCTCAGGCAATCCTCTCGCTTTGACTTCCTAAAGTACTGGGATTATAGGCGTGATCCACGGCACACAGAAGTTAGTCTATTTTGATAGTTTCTGTGAAGAACCGGCTTTAGTTTGGTTGATTGTCTCTATTGTTTTTATATGTTTTACTCTACTACATTTTATTCCAATCTATGTTATTTTCTTCTTTCTACTTTCTTGAGTTTGCTCTGTTCTGTTGAGCTTTATTTAACTTATTGTGTTTATTTTCAATCATTCATATTTGTACATAAAGGCCTATAAAGTCTAAATTCACCCTATAGCCCCTTGTTAGGAGTTTTCCACAGATTTTTATAAATTCAATTCATTTTTGTTAAAGTTAGAAATAGTTTAGCCGGGCATGGTGGCTAATGCCTGTAATCCCAGCACTTTGGGAGGAGGAGGCGAGAAGATTGCCTGAGCCCATGGGTTTGAGACCAGCCTGGGCAACTTGGTGATGCCTCATCTCTACAATAAATCAAAAAATTAGCCAGGCATCATGGTATGTGCCTGTAGTTCCGACTACTTGGAAGGCTGAGGTGGAAGGATCACCTGAGTGCAGCAAGTCATGGCTGTGGTGACCATGAGAGTACAACTGTACTCCAGCTTCGACAACAGAGTGAGACTCCAATGCAAAAAAAAAAAAGAAGAAATATTTCAAAACTTTGGCCAGGAACAGTGGCTCATCCCTATAATCCCAGCACTTTGGGAGGTTGAGACAGGAGGATTGCCTGAGCCCAGAAGTTGAAACCAACCTAGGAAACATAGCTAGACCTTGTCTCTACAAAAAATAGAAGAAAAAAAATTGACTTGGCATGGTGGTGCACCCCTGAAGTTCCAGCTATTCAAGAGGTTAAAGCAGGAGAATCACCTGAACTCAGGAGGTCAAGGCTTCAGTGAGCCATGATTGTGTGGTTGCACTCCAGATTAGGTGACACAGTGAGACTCAGAATCAAAAAAACAAAAGAAAGAAAGAAATATTTCAAAACTTTCATTATATTTTTCTGTTGAGTCAATGATATTTAGGAATGCACTTTTAAATTTATAGACATATGCATTTTTATTATTGATATTTTTAATTTTAAAATATTGTTGTCAGTCATCATGGTTTCTGGAATATATTTTTCAATTAGGTGGGGACTTTGTGACCTAATACATATACAAATTTTCTAAAAATTTTCTTGTATGCTTTAAAAGAATACATATTTTCAATATTTTTAAGTATATTTTTTTATTTTAAAATTGTGGGGTACAGTTAAGGGTTGGGTATACAAATATTCATTGTGCAGGTACCCTTGTCGATGAGGTGTGTCCCCCTTTCCCCAGACAGATATTAAGGTGTATGTCTCTATATACGTTATTATGTTAGGTCAGAGTTTCCACAGTTTTCTCTTCATGGCACCGCTAGTGCCTCAGTGGTTATTTTTGTAGCATTTCTACAGCAAAGAAACGCCGAAAGTTTCTGTTCATTAAGTAGTTACATCCAAATGACTTAATTAGTTTTGTGTCCTGAAAACTTGTAGCTGCTTGAAAAACTAATGCCTGTACAGCAATTGAAGAGAAAAATATTTTCAGCTTCTTACATAACCATGATTGCTTCTGCATGGATGGTGTGTGCCTACTGGGCACTGTACAACTTTCAGCGCTTGGAAGAAGATTGGAGGCCATTGACACCTTCACTTATAGTTCCATCTTGATTTTCCCATGTTCCTAGTTTTTGTGTTTAATATGTAGATTTAGACGTGTACTGAGATGCTTTTTATCATGGCGACTGATGAAAACCCAGTTTCACAAGATATGAAGTTATGGAAAGAATGTAGATCACGGGAGCTGAACACCAGGTACACATGGGCATAAGATGGGAACAACAGTCACTGGGGACTCCTAAGGGGAGGAGGAGAAGGTGAGGGTTGAGAAACTATGTATTGGGTACGATGCTCATTATTTGGGTGATGAGTTCAACAGAAGCCCAAACTCCAGCATCACCCAGTACACCTACATAACAAACCTGCACATGTACACACTGCATCTACAATAAAGTAAATAACATAAGAAAAAGAAGAATACAGTAGATCTGGTGTTGAAACTGCACTTTCCAACTCAAGCTGGCATGATGCCTGACCTGATGTGGTATGTAGCTGTTTCCCCCAAATCTTAAAGTCTTCCGCAGCCTCCAGTGTCTCCATGCTAGCTCTCTAGGACATTTCAGTGTAGAGATTGGGAGTTCTATTATTTTTGAATTCTGATCATTCTATAATTTTATGAATCCCAGCATTTTGGAAGGTTGAAACAGGAGGATTGCTTGAGCCCAGTAGTTGAAACCAGCCTAGGCAACATAGTGAGACTTTGTCTCTACAAAAAAGAAAAGAAAAAAATTAATTTGGCATGGTGGTGCACCCCTGCAGTTCCAGTTATTCAAGAGGTAAAGCAGGAGAATCACCTGAGTCCAGGAGGTCAAGGTTTTAAATAATTGTGTCATTTATGCCAGTTTTTGCTTTATGTTTTAGAGGTTTTGTAATTCCATATATCATGCTGTTATGTACCCTGATGAATTTTTCCTCTCATCATTAGCCTGTAACTTGATTGATAATTTTTTACCCTATATTCTATTTTTCTGATGTTGCTATTGAGAGACACACTTTCTTTTGATTAGTATTTGTTTGACAGATCTCTTTCCATTAATTTATTCCAATCTTTCTGTGTTGCTTTGAGGTTTGCCTCTTGTAAGTAATATATAGGTGGATTTAAAAGCATCACAACCTGATAGTTTTTGTGTTTAATATGTAGATTTAGTCCATTTATAAGATCTGGGTTTCATCTACCTTCTTATTTTGGTATTGTACCCTGTCCTGTATAGTCTGAGATGTTTGACTTTCCATGACCTGTGCACATGGAGATTCATCTCACCCAAGAAACAGGCAATAAGGATTATGGTGTTCAGTGGCAGCCTCCACTGGCCTTGGTGTCAGTTGTCTTTTTCTGCCTAATGGCTGGGGTCTAAGTACTATTCAATTAGAAAATTGGGACTGGGATTGGTGGCTCAGCCTGTAATCCTAGCATTTTGGAAGGCTGAGGCAAGAGTAGTGCCTAAGTCTGGGGGTTCGAGACCAGATTGAGCAATTTGGTGAGACCTCGTCTATACAGAAGAATCACAAAAACTTGCTGGGTATGGTGGCATACATCAGTAGTTCCAGCTACTTTGAAGGCTGAGGCAGAAGTATCGTCTGAACCCAGCAGTGAGGGTGCCACTGCACTCCAGCCTGTGAGAGAAAGAGTGAGACTCCAACTAAAAAAAAATTAGTAAAATTGTTGTCTGGTGTCAGACATACTTGTCCAAGGGTAGTTCAGTGTAGTCAGAAGAACACTGAATGAGAAACCAGAAAGCTGTGTTCTGCCAAGGGGTAACTGTGCAACCTGCCCTGGTTTCTTAGTTCCTTATGGAGTTACATCCTTTGCCTACTGCTTAGGAAGGCTGTGAGGAACCTGGGGAGGCCGCATGAGGAAGAGTTTCCTATTTCATGAGAGCTTTACCTGGCGGAGGCGTCCTGGTCATCAGGGCTGATGTCTCACTATGTGGATCATCCAGCCCTCGTTCCCCCCTGCTCTCCTCTTTGGTTACTGCTATTTCTTTTGGTTGAGTCTCCTGAAGAATGAGAAAGGGATAGAAAGTGGAGGCAACACCAATCTGTTTGCTTTGTTAGGATGGAATAACGGTATGGGAAAGATGGGTGGAAACTGTCATGCAAAATTGCCTGGATTTTCTTAGAATTCATTCTTTGTGGTTTCATGCAGCACATCTTTGCATGGGATGTCCAAGTCAGCTGGCACAGAAGAAACTAAGGGTGGGCTGGAGGATGGAGGAGGGACAGTTGGCTCTCCTCGGGTGAATGTACCACAGTTACTTCCAGCACTAACCGGCAAGCAGTTCTGCAGCTGCAAGGTGTGCTGGCTTTGAAGACTCACACCCTTGGTCACAACAATTCTAAAACATTCGCTAAGTGGTTAGTGCTCACATGGTGTGGTTTGGAAGGGTCTAGCAGGTTCTCCTGACTCTCCAGTATCTGTAAGGCCCTGAAATCCCACCACTGTAGTCCATTTTATGGATCTGGAAGGTTTTAAAGTCTAGGCAACTCTGTTAAAACATGTACATTCTTCAGCTTGGTCACCTTGTCCTCACTGAGGGCAAGGCTGTGGCAGGAAGGGAAGACTGGATGGTGGGCACAGAAGTGGGAGAATGGACAAGATGAACCTGCTCCCCTCACAGCTTTGAGGAAGGCTGCCCCTGGTCTTCATGTGTTTCACGTAAGGCACTTCCCACAGCATCCACATGAACCAGCTCAAGGTTGCACAGCATTGGGAGAGTGCAGGAGTCAGCCAGTGGGTGCTGGCACAAGTCTAGTGGCCTGGTGTTGGCCTCACAGGCACAAGGCTCACCTTGTGGCATATTTTGCAGGACAAGACCTGGGGCCAAGATGGCACTCGGGACACTGACTATGTTCAGGGAGGGCTATTTTCCTCAACACATGGCTACTCTCCTTAGAGAGTGGATTCTAGATCCTTCCATGTCCCGTCTGGTCCTCCTGCTAGCTTCAGCACAAACGGAGCCCTGAGGTTTGAGTGTGTGATGTTGGAGGTTAAGACCAGCCCCAATCAGCTCCTGCCTCTCTCACTGACATGATTGCTGGGTCCATCTAGCCCCTGTGGCCCTCATCAGGGTCTGACTTGCAGCGAGAGGGAGGGGCTATGGCTGTGTGCCTCCTTGGATAGTGCCTCATCTGTCTGTCAGTTCAGTGGCAGAAGGTACATGTTCACCAGCATGATGGCCCCAGCAGCTTCAATTTCCTCTAGATTGGTTGGAAAAGGCAGCTCCAGAATACTTATAATTCCACCAAGGTATGTTTCCCATGAAGAAAGCATGTGGAAGGTCTCTGGACACTATCACCTCTAGCAACTGTGAGAGCCAGACACAGCTCAGTCTCTCTACCAGGGGCCATTGGGCTTTTACCTGCCTCTGAATTTCATTTCCTTTTTTCGTCCCATCTCTTCATTGCTTCTGTTTTCTTCAGTGGAAATATTTTCTGTCATATTTTCTTCTTCATTCTGAATCTCTGAGTTCACTTTCTATTGTTCTCTTCCTTGCTTGTGGGAATTTGTTGTTATGTGTGTTCTGAGAGCCACTTGTCCACATGCTTGTGCTTCACTGAGAGAATTCATGTCCAGACCAGCCTATGGATGCATGCCTGTTGCATTGAAATTTCTGCCAGACGATACCAATCAGCACTTACATGTGATGAAATGATATTACCCTGGACACTCTGGATTTGTGAAATAAGTCTTAAATTCTTTCTCTGTTAGACCTTACTGTGTTTTGAAAGGTTTTTTCATGGTCTCTTTGCCCAGTGAAAGAAGGGAGGAAATGGAAAATTCTAGAGTCCACCAATGGTTTCCCAGTGAGACTGGTAATGAGACTGTGGTCTTGGACAGCAAGTCCTTAGCTCTAGCTCAGAACTTTTGCAGCTATAAGAAGGAAGAGATGCTACAAGAATCATTTCACAGGAACAACTGATCAAACATCAAACAGAAGACGTTTGTTGAGGGCTTTGGATGCTAGGCCTGCAGTAGAGAGCTCAGGTGAAGAGAAAATCTGGGTGATCCTTAGCCATGTCAAAAGGATGAGTTAACTGCAGAAAGGGCAGACACACATACAGGAAAACCACCATGCTGGGGCAAAGCACATTTCTTACAGAGGGCAGGTGAGCAGATGACACAGGGCCTCCCCTGCAGGGCAATAGTGAGTCCCAGGCTGACAGGGACACATCCATCTTCAGTGTGTGGCTTCCAAGCTTCCAAGCTTGTCTTGGAGACCATCTCTGTCCATCCTGCCAGAGGGGAAGGGCGTGGGAAAAGCAGGTGAGGGGGTGGGTTGGGCAGAGAAGGGCCTGTGCAGCATTTCTTCAAATTCATTGACTAGAAGTTTGTTTTTGTCATATTCAGTGGCAAGAGAGGCTGGAAATGAGTCCTAGCTATGAATTCAAGCTAAAAATGTGAATTCTGGCAGGGGGCTGGCACCATGTGCTGCCTGGCTTAAGGAAAGGGTTATGTTTCTAAAGTGAAACTCTGGATGCTTTAAATTGGTTTATTTATATTTTCCTATATTTTTAGAAGTTAAATATTACATGTGTGTTACTTTTAAAATAAGAAAACAAGGCAATAGACCTTCTTTTTTAAAAAATGTAATCCTAGTCTTTGGAGCTTAGAACACGATCAAGTTTTACCACAGAAACAGTTGGAGCTGTTGTTTGGAGTCCCAGGCAGGGCTAGAAAGTCCTCTGTACCTCACAGAGTAGTTGAAATATGCTATCTGAAGTGTGCTATGTGTCTCAAAGGGGCCCTGCTCTAACTTAAGCCAGTCTGACCTTGTGCTCCTGGAGCAGGATGATAAGGCAAGAGTGAGGGAGAGAGGAGGAGACAGTTTTCTGCCTTTGCAGAGTGGGCTGAAGTCATGGGGTGCAGAGTGGATCTCCGACACTCCCTTCTCCCCTGTTGCCTGAAGACTCAATGGCCAGCACCCTGCCCAGGTGTGCCCACTGTCTATGGAAATCCATGCCCTATGCCTCCCTTGACTCTCTCCCACATAGTGCCTATTCTCTCACTGACCTCATCTGGGGACTATGGGTAAAACCCCACTTGAATTAATTTAGTGAGGGGGAGACACAGCTCAGACTTCCAACTACCTGTAGTTTCCAAGAGGAAAAATCACTGAGTCAAATATATTGTCATTGGTAGAATCATAGGCAGAGTGACCTGACCAGGTTCTCATGTAGTACTGGGGTAGGTGCTTTGGTCAGAGGCCCATCCCAGGCTTGCACGGAAGCTCTTCTCCCATAATAATTTCTTACAGTGCTTTCTGCATTTCCTAGCTTCCTGCTGCCTGAATTTCCTGACATCTTGAGTTTATTGCAGTGACTTTGTGGAGGACAGCAGTGCTCTGCAAATGCTCTATGTGCCCTGCATGTTCTGTCTCTTTTCCAGTTATTTTGGACAATGTGATAGACATGGGGCTGCTGGCAGTGAGCAGGGACACCATGGCTCACCCAGGTTGGAGGCAGTTAGTGATTTAGAGTCTTTGTCACTCCTTTAATTTTGAGTAAAACCCTGGGGACTTCAGGAAGTGCTCTGCCATGGAGCATTCCCACACCAGGAGGGAACTGAATGAGAAAGCCCCTTGTTGGTTTTTCTGCTAAGAATTTGAGACTTCCTTGTGACCACATAGTCTAGTTTGACCTGCCTAATGCAGGCTCACAGGCAACAGGGAGGACACTGTATTGGGAGTGGAGGAATGGGAAAGGGAGGGGGTTTGTAAGCAAGAATCTGCCCTTAAAGACACTCTTCTTGTTTTGACACTTTGATCTGAGGAAGGCTGGTGATGTCTCTGGTGAGGAAGCTGATGAGGATGACATCATCATCATCTCAGTCTGTGAGCAGAGGAAAAAGGTGGACGGACTTGGCTTTGGAACAAAGGATGCCAGGAGAAAAAAGAGAATGGAGTTAACTGGCTGGGAGCTCAGTTAAAAGGCAAGAGAATTTCTCTGACTTGAGTATTTAGTTTCTAGTTGGAGGTATGAGGATGGTTGCTTTTATGAAGTAGTATATAGAAGAGGGTGTATAGCTATTGAATGAGTGGCAGAGAAAACGACACACACTTGAATGAGAGACTATTATATACTGGGAGCTCAGGGAAGCGAGAGGTCTTCACAGAAGAGGGGATAGGAGACACCACAGGATAGGCTACATTTAGGAAGATGAAAAGTGGGTCTTTTGGGTGAAAGATTTGACGTGTGCAAAAGTTTTGAGCTAGAAAACATGTTAGCCTAGTTTGAATGGGGTGCACTATTTGAGGAAGGGCACATTACTGAGAGGTAAGACTTCAGAAAAAGAAAACATTGTAGAGAGTCTCAAAAGTCACTTAAAACCTTTAAGCTTTCTCTTGCAAGATTGCTATTACAACAGAATAGTGAATAACTGGCAACAGCCTAGATTCCCATCAGTCAGAGACAGGTGAAATAAGTTGTGGTGCTGACATACCATGACATAGCACTCAGTAGTTATGGAGCCTGAGTTGGACCTACGTGAGTTCTCATGGACAGATCTTCAAGACACTGCTGAGTGAAAATGCCAGGGAAGTGACAATGCTGTGTGAGGTGGGCACAAACCACACCCATGGCACACCATATTCCTGAATGGACATCTGTGCAAACTCACACAGGTACCTGTGAATGCCTCCTAGTTCCGCAATGATACATACAAACTGGTGACAGTGGTTAGGTCTGGCCAAAGGTCTGCGGCTGTCCTCAGTCCTGCCTGTTCTGATGGGTCAGAGCCTTGTCGTTGGGATTGGGCCTAACCAGGCTCCCTCTTGGTCACCATTCAGACTTGCTCTCCTATCAATTAAAGTACATTTATGATAATGGAAGTCAGTAAATGCCCTTGCAGAGACAAGCAGAGCTCTCTTCTACCTGTAGTTATTTCCCACCGAGGAAAAATATTTCTGGTCCTCCTTTTGAGGGTGATATTTTTTAAGTTTTTCTATATGAGAACATCTTTAAAATCTTCATTAGATTAAAAGACCAACTCACTTATACTTTGATTACTTTCAAGAAAAATCTGAAGTGATCAAAAACATTAAAATGCATGTGTTACAGCAACAGGGCAACTAAAAATCTTTAAAAAGAAAACTAAAAGTTCATTTAGAGGTCACTGCCTTGCTAAGTTATAGTGTGGCCATGTGCATTTTCAACTATGGCCAGGCTGTGTTTCCTTAAGCTTTGGCTCCATTCCCTACCTAGTGGAGATGAATCTTCTCTCTCTCTCTCTCTAATTTACTTTTAAATAAATTTCTAATCGAAAAAAATCATTTAGAACACATACCATTAGAAAACACATACATTATTCAATAATAATTCAAGAAAAGTTAGCTATAGGGTAAACTATATTTTGGTTCTCATCTCACTATATGTCTAAACACATTTCAGATGTTAAAATGTTATCAAAATATACACACAAAGCAATAAAAAATAAACTCAGATTTGTATTTAAAGAAAAGAGAGCAATAGAGTTTATCTGAAGAATGAAAGATGTATTCATGCTGGAAAATTTTCAGTGTAACCCATCACATTGGCAAAATAAAAGAGAAAAGAGCATATTGCTATATTAGTAGATTTAGAAAATGCACTAGAATATCCCACTTTTGCTCATGATAAATACTTTTTAAAATCTGTTAAAGGGTATTTCCTCAGAACTTATAGCAATCATTATACTGAATGGTGACATCTTCAAAGAATCTCATTAAAATCAGGTATACAGCATCTATATTCTTATTACTATAACTCAACCTTAAACTGGAGGTTCTTGTGGATGAAAAATTTATGTTGTCAGATGAAATGTCTACAGGGAAGCGCCAAGAAAATCTGGTTACAAACTATAATGACTACTAAGAGAGCTCAATAATTTGTTGAATAGATCATTTATAAATTCAACAATGAAAGATATTTGGGTCAGGTACAATGGCTCAAACCAATAATCCCAGCACTTTGGAAGGTAAAGATGAGAGAATTGCCTGAGTGCAGGGGCTTGAGACCAGCCTGGGCAACTTGGCAAGACCTCGTCTCTACAATAAATTAAAAAATTAATCTGGTGTAGTGGTGTATGCCTGTAGTTCTAGCTACTAGGAAGGTGAAACAGAAGGATCACCTGAGCCCAGCAGGTCGAGGCTGCGATGGCCATGAGTGTGTCACTGTGGTAGCCATGAGTGTGCCACTGCACTTCAGCCTGGGTGACAGAGTGAGGCTCCTACTCAAAAAATAATGGAAAGATATTTGGAAAAACTCCCAAATATTTTAAAATTAAGTAAGAGTTCTTCAATAATAATGGGAAAAAGGAAATTAGAAAATATTTTGTACTGAATAAAAATGAAAGTAGGAGCACAACATATTTGTGGTATGCTGCATAAAATAAAGAAAAAATTATAGCATTAAACATTTGCATTAGAAATTAAACATGGTCTAAAATAAACTGTCTAGGTTTCCAACTTAAGAATAAAAGGTTAAGCCCAAGTTAAATAGGAAGGAAACAATAAAGTCAGGGGTAGAAATCAATAAAATACAAAACAGACCAACAATGTATAAAATAAAATATAAGCCAGGCTTGGTGGCTTAGCTTGTAATCCCGCACTTTGAGAGGCTGAGGTGAGTGGATTGCTTGAACCCGTGGGTTCGAGACCCGCCTGGGCAACTTGGCTAGACCTCATCTCTACAATAAATAAAAATATCAGCTGGGCATGGTAGCACATGCCTGTAATCCTGGCTATTCAGAAGGCTGAGGCAGAAGGATCGCCGGAGCCCAGTGGGTCGAGGCTGCAGTGGCTGGGAGCAGCCACTGCACTCCAGTCTGGGTGACAGAGTGAGACTCCAACTCAAATATATATATACATACATATATATATATGTATGTGTATATATATATATATATATAAACCCAGTTTTGTGTTTTGTGTTTTGAAACATTGAT